GCGTTGGTGCGCGCCCGGGATCCGAACCAGCGAACCCCGGGCCGCCGCAGCGGAGCGCGCGCACTTAACCGCTTGCGCCACCGGGCCGGCACCCTGAGAGAGTTTTTAAAAGCCCCTTGTATTAGTTTGCTAGGACTGTGTCTATGATAAAGTACAACAGACTGGGTGGCTTAAACAACAGAAATTTATTGTCTGACAGTTATGGAGGCTGGAAGTCTGAGATCAAGGTATCGTCAGGGTCACTTTCTTCTGGGCCTCTGTCAGGGGCTTGTAGACGGCTGTCTTCTCTCTGTGTCATCATGTCATCTTCCCTTTGTATGTGTCTGGGTTTAAATTTCCCCTTCTTATGAGGACGTCAATTACACGAGATTAGAGCCAACTCTTATGACCATATTTTAATTTAATTACCTCTGTAAAGATCCTATCTCCAAATATGGTCACTTTCTGGGGGTTAGAACTTCAGCATGAATTTTGGGAGGGGGACACAATTTAGCCCATAACACCCCTCTCTCAAAATTGTAGAGCTGAAAGTGACCTTGTCAGGCCCCAGTTTTCCTGGCTGCTCATTCAGTGCAGTTCTGTGCATCTCACTTTAGTGGACTCTTGCTTAAGTCCTAGTGACATTTATTTAATACCTTTAAAAAAAAACTTACTTTAGGAGCTGGCCCCGTGGCTTAGTGGTTAATTTTGGCATGCTCTGCTTTGGCAGCTCGGGTCCAGTTCTGGTTACAGACCTACACCACTCGTCGGTGGCTATGCTATGGCTGTGGCGGTGACTCACATGCAAAATAGAGGAAGACTGGCACAGATGTTAACTCAGGGCAAATCTTCCTCAGCAAAAAAAAAAGCCCAACTGACTTTAAAAAATATATTTATTTATTTTAACATAATGATTGGAGTATAGGCTTTGTAATAAATAAGCTCTACCACACACTTGTCTGTGACCTTGGCAAGTTACTTGACCCATTGGAGCCTCAATTTCTTCATATGTAAAATGGCAGTGGTATTTCTAGTTTGACACAGTGTTAGCAAGAGTGACCCTATCTCACAATGCTATTTTAAAGGAGGCAGGAAAACTATAAGGAGATGTAGACCACAGTCATGTGTGGCATAAGAATGGGTTTGCCTAAGGGAGTTTTCAGGAAAAATTTCAGTACCAATTCAGTATGTTCTGTTGATGAAGAAAAACAACTATGTAAAAAGAAAAAATATCTCAGTGACTTCCTAAAATAAAAAAATGTTTGGCACTGAACGCGATATGCCTAAGTTATTTGGAAAAGTCATTTCTATGGAGCACCCCATTTCCTAACAAGGCCAGATAAATGGGCTATTCTGTTGAGGAGGGAGTCAGAATGTTCCAAGAACTTTCTTGCTGTCATCGACATAGAAAAACACATGTTGTTAAGAAAAGAGAAAAGTGGGTTTTCTCTGAGTGCGAGGATTTAAAAAGATGGACTTGGAAATGTAGTAGTTCACGATTTTTAGAAAGTAGAGTCTTTTTACTACATGTTTTTTATGAATACTCAGTGACTTATGTAAAATATATGATGTCAAATTATGTTTAACTTAATTGTGATGTTTATGGTATTTGTGATGTTTATGGTATATTTTGTGATGTTTATGGTATATTCATGGCTTTTAGAACAAGTTTATAAAAGGCAAATACTACAAATATAAAAACAGTTTTTCGGGAAATTTTAGGATTACTCATAGCATCGATAATTCATCATTTATAATACCGTTAAGATGATGTTTTCTTTTTTAAAATTAGATATTTAGGCAAATGAAAATTTGAGAAGTTCAGAATTCTTCAAAGTTGATTTTAGTTGAATTTTGAAATGGTACATTGTGATATTTTATGATACAGTGTTAATCTGGACACACATTGATCTGTTGGGCTACATAATTTGCAGAGCCAGGCATTCTTGGCCAAGTTCTTCTCAGTGACTCCCCGTAGTCCTTATTTTTGACTATATGGGAGAGTAACCCCCCTTCTCCAGGGGCGGAAAATTTTCATAGTTAATTTTCTGAATCTAATCTACATATGTCCTTAAGCAGTGTTTCTAAACCTGACCAGAGAAAGTTTTTGCTAATCTTTGTTGGAATGAGATTTTTTTTTAAATCCAACTTTATTCAAGCTAAAGGCACATCATTTCTTCTGAGATTATACTGATAGAATATGATAGTTTATTTCAAGACTTTCACTCAGTTGAATAAAAATTTGTTGGCCAAACCTATGTTTATATCTCAAAAATTTTTGGAAATTTACTAGTTAATGAATCCAAGTTGGGTAATCTTTGTGACGTCGGCTTTTGGTCAACAAATCTTTCTACAGAGATTACGGAAACTTTTAATATAATATTTAAATTTGTTATGCAGTTAAGTTGGTAACTAGGTGATGTACAAATAGATTGATCAACTATTCCTTAGTGGCTACAGGTTTACTGATAAACATAAAATTTCAGCTATTTGTTTTGTGAGTGTGTATATTAACTCTGTTGCTATCTGATCACTTGTAGAGGGTGTTACGGCTGGGGAGTGACACTCAGTCATGCCTGATCTGTTTTATGTGTTATGGGCATTGTTGTTCAGAATTGTTCCATTATAGAGTCTTTTACTACATTTCTGTCATCAACATAGAATCATTAGGTGATGACAGAAGTGAGTTTAGCTCTGGGTACAAAAATTTAAGAAATCTAACGTTTAATCTACTGTAAGTTAAGAAAATATTTTTGTAGTTTCTGAGCCTGACGACTCATTCTTTTTGCAGTTTAAGTGCTGTGGAGTGGTGTATTTCACCGACTGGTTGGAAATGACAGAGATGGACTGGCCCCCAGATTCCTGTTGTGTTAGGGAATTCCCAGGATGTTCCAAACAGGCCCACCAGGAAGATCTCAGTGACCTTTATCAAGAGGTAAGGCCATATGTGACTAACTTACCAGGGATAAAAATTTCTTATAATGACTTTTAAGTAAAGGATCAACAACATGCCAATGAAATTTTCCTCTTCTGTGTAAATTTAAAGGCTCCTAAAATTTTTCTCTGATACATGGAGAAACAGGATACAGCTAAAAATCAGTATAAAAATCTGAGCACTAATCACATTTTAACAAAGGAAATCGAGAAGGATTAGGTGTCAGAATTAATTGGATTTTAAACTGTGTTTTCTAGAACCAAGTTCTAGTGCCACCTCCAAGGGGTCCTTTAAAAATAGACACACGAGAGTGTATGACTAACTCTGGGTATTCGAGAAAACAAGGTTGGGAGTTCCTGAGCAGAATATGTATTTTAGGGCCTCCACATAAAGTAAAATATATGTAGGAAAAAAAATCTCACTCTTCAGAGATGATGCTGTTCTCTACTCTTCAGTTCCCCCTGCTGGCTAATGATCAGTGATAGTTTTAGTTAGGTGATTTAATGAAGTTAGATGCTCACTGAAATTAAAATCAATCCTCATGTGCCCAAGAAACTTGCATATTTGTGTTTTCTGAGAGAACTTATCAGAATCATCAGTTATTCCTTTGTTAGCAGAAGTTTTCCTATTCCTTCATTTTTAGTGATGATTTTCAAACTTTGTTAGCAGTGGAATCCTATTTTCAAATTAAAATCTAGAACTGCGTCATCCAGTACAGTAGCCAATAGCTACATGTGGCTGTTTAAATTAAAATTAAATAAAATAAAAATTTCATTTTCTCAGTTGCACCAGCCATATTTCAAGTGCTCGATAGCCGCTTGGACTAAGAGGTCCTGTATCGGACAACACAGACATAAGACATTTGCATCATTACAGGAAGTCTTATTGCAATCTTGATCTAGCAAAATGTAAATCAGATGGAAGGGGAGCTGCTCAGGCTGAGGGGCTGGGATCATTTCCCAAATACATTTCCAGTAAAGTACTTGGGTACCGCGATGCACTGTTGAAAACCTCTGGCTTAACCTAAAGTAAGAACTTATACTATTTGTAATATAACACACACACACACACACACACACACACACACGTATATAGTGTGGCTATAAAGATGAAACTTTAAAACAAAAACACATCAAGATTTATAAAACATGCATTTTTATATATTTCAAGATGGTTACCTTAGGAGGTCATACATTTTCCCCTAGAAATACTATTATTGTTGAAGACATCTTTTAGGCTGTCTGCCAAAGTCAGTTGTACAGATGTGCAAATATCAGTTTTATTAATTTATAGTGTAAATTAACTAATTTGAAAAAGATACTGGATTACCTACACAAATGATCCATTGTATTCATGTCATAGATCTGAGGAACTTTCGGCTATTAAAAAATTCATCTCAGAGGACAAGACTATGTCACATTTAAGGATATCCAAAATAAAGTGCTTTGGGCTCTGAAGGCCTGCCATAAAGAAGAGTACCAAGAATTTTTTAAGAGATACAGAATTGTATTAGTTTCCTAGGGCTGCTGTAACAAAATACCACAAAGGAAGTGGCTTAAACAACAGATATTTATTGTCTCGCAGTTCTGAGGCTATAAATCTAAGATCAAGATGTCAACAAGGTTGGTTCCTTCTGAGGGGTGTGAGGAAGAATCTGTTCTGTGCCTCTCCCTCAGCTTCTGGTGGTTTGCTGGCAATCACTGGCATTCCTTGGCTTGTAGAAGCATCACCCCGATCTCTGCCTTCGTCTTCACATAGCATTCTCTCTGTTTGCGTCTATCTCCAAATTTCCCCTTTTTCGTAAGGACACCAGTCATATTGGATTAGGGACCCACCCTTCTACAGTATGACCTCATCTTAACTAACTACATCTGCAACAAATCTGTTTCCAAATAAGATCACATTCTGAGGTACTGGGGATTAGGACCTCAACATATGCATTTGGAGGGGACACAATTTGACTCATAACAAGAATTGTTGAAACAACTGAATAACTCAGGTTGTTTATTTCCAAGAATAATCAAAATACTTTTAGTTGTGCCTCACACGACTGAGAAGCATTGTATTTGGATGATAGCATTTTAAGCATATGTTTAATAACATTTTGGCTTTGAATGAAAAGGAATATACAAGGCATTGTGTATTGAATAAAGAGTTATTGGGTCAATGTCTCTGAGCTTCTCAGGGATTATTTTTTCTGGTGAAAGCTGAATATTCGCTGGTATGTGTAGTAGGGATGGTCAACTAACAAGTTCAACAGTTAACGTCCTGTTCGTTCCATAAAACAGAAAACAATGCTTAATATTTCTAAGATAATATTAAATGCAGACATAATTGTGGATATTCAAATACATTATAATTCACCACTAGGTTTAAAAAAACAGATGATTATAGTATAGACATAAGTATAAACATGTGACTTGAAACCTATCAACTTTCCTGGTGTGAACTTAATCCATTTGTTAGTTTTTAAGAGTGACAAGTCAATATGGGAAATTATTGGGCTACAACACCATGTATAATAATTTTTACCTTCTTTTGTGATTAATACTAATAATATGATTATGACCAATATTGATCATGAGAATGGCAAAACATGAATCAGTTTACCAGATCTTTCCACAAAGTCTGAATATGAACAAATTCACTTCAATTCTACTTTATTTAAGTTGAAAAGCATTCAATTAAACATTTAATAAAATTTTCCTGTTGTAAAAATACAATTCATTTTTACTAGTTTGTCTTAGATTATTTCCACTAGTAGTGTTTATAATGGGATGCTTTACTTTCAGGATGTCTATAATTACTTGTTCCATGAATTCTAAGATTGAAGGAAGCCACACTATTGTGCATGTGCAAATTGATGGCCCAGATTATTTTAAAATTTTTTTCATATTTTCATCAAAAGACTTTCTATAGCAAGCTGGCATTGTCAGTTATGAGACGTTCTTTAGACAGACTTCCAACAGAGATGGAGGTTCATTAAATCAGAGTAATCTGCTTTTGCATTTTACAGTTAATAACAGATGCTGATATTGGTAATGATATAGTGCATAATTATATGCATAGTTGACTTATAAAAGTGGATCACTTAGTAGCTTTATGGCACAAATGCAATTAAATCCATCATTAAAAATAAGATTTAATTCCACTTTGCCCTGGAGAACATATGTTTCCTAATTGCAGTGTGCCGAGAGATCATCCACCTGGAAGATGAGGGTTCTAGAAGAAGGAACAAGTGAGGGACAGCAGGAGGTATTTGGGATGTTTATTCTGATGTAGAAAGTACTAAGGGGAGATATTTTAGATGTCTTCAAATATTTTAAAGTTCATCATTCAGAACAGGAACTAGACTTACTCATTGTTGCTCCAAAGGCCGGAAGTTACAGGAAGGAAATTTTGACTCAATAGAAGGAAGACCTTGCTCATCAAAATCTGTCCAATTGTAATACAGGCTCTCTTGTAAAATAGTGAGTGTTTCATTATGAAAAATATTAAAGTCAAGGTCAGATAACCATGTCATTGGTGGGCATAATGGGTTTTTAAATTGAGTGAATCTGGACTAGATGAACATCAAGGTCCCTTTTATCTTTCGTATTCTGTAAGCTCAGAGATAAGAACTGGCTTTCTTCCTGCAGTCTTTCTTCCGTAGTATGAAATCAAGGAAATAAATCATTCTCAACCATCTGGTGGCCTGCATGGTCCCTGACCCAATAATATTTTATGACACATTTGAAACCTGTGAAAAATGACAGAAGAGAAACATAGCGCCAATTGCACATTTTAGAAACATTCTCATCAGAGGTTTTGTTGAATTTGGCACACAGCTCCTCAAATATCCGTAATGAGCTACACACTTGTATAAAAGTATAGATTTAAAAATCACAGATGCAAATATCTCTGATCATCAATTTGGTTCCATCACATTCATTTGTTCAAACCATTTTGTGAGTACCTACTGGGTTCCAGGTGCTGTTATAAATGCTAAGGATGTAGTGGAGAATGTTGCAGACAAAAATATCTCCTCTTGTATTCTAGTTAGGGATATAGACATTTAACAAGGAAAAAAAACAGCAATAAAAAATAATTTCAGGTGATGGTAAGCACTTTAAAGACTCTGAACAGGCTCATGTGCTGGGGAGTGACATTATTGGTGAGGGATCTACTTAAGATAGGATAGTTAGGAATAGGCTCTCTTAGGAGGTGACATTTGAACTGAGACCAATTGATGAGAAGGATCCAGCCATGAAAAGATCTGTTGAAGAGTTTTTGAGGTTTTTTTTGGCCTAGGGAACTGCAAATGCAAAAGCCTACCCAGAGGTGGCCTGGACCAATGATTACTGACGCTTACTACCCTGTTCTTTGGGGTGTAACCACACTCTCTAAATGCTAGGTGTGATGCTTGGCCTCAGCGAAACATCAATTGGTAAAATACAGGACTAGGGTGCATCTCTGCTTTCTCTCACCTGCTGAATTTTCTACCATATGAGTTGTTAAAGTTCTGTGTCTAGACTTGACCTTGAGAGGAAAAATAGAGAGAAAGAAGAATAAAGAAGCTGGCAGAGAAAAAGTAGTCTTTTTAGAGCAGGGACTGACAACCTCTTGCCCATGGACCTGTGCTCTTCTTGGATGGGCTTCAGGGGAAAAGTGATAGGACTGAAATTGCTTTCGATATTTTGTGTGCATTTTTTCAGTGACTAGGAGCCATAGTTTTCCTCCATTTTTCTTGGGGTTCCATACTTAAAAGTGTACAGAACCACAGTGGTAGAGAATAGTTGCAGTGTTTGCTCTCTCAGATAGGAAATGAAGGATAAACGTCTCCTCAAAGGGACTAAAATCCCATTTTCCTCTTCTGTCTGCCACCTAAAGAAAAATAAATGGAAGCAGACAGGCTCACAACAGACCTTACTTCAAATGGACCAACTCAAAATATAAAACAAAGAAGAACAGAGAGTCAAGTAAAATGTACCCCCAAAGACACATTTCTTTGTTTTGTAGTT